GAGATGCACAGCCCTTTCTTTATCTAGAAAGTCATGTATCTTGAAATAGGTCTTTGTAGGAAGAAAATCATTAACTCTCCATTGTGGAGCAAGTATGTTGGCAAGTTCCTTTTCCTTCTCTGGTCCACTTCATTTCTTTCATATCTTGTATGTATGTCACCCTTGTGTGGTGTGCAGCAAAAGACACTGGAAGAACCCATTGCTTTGGCAGGCAGTTCACTTGCACTGTACCTGTTGTAGCTTCCAGGCTGTTAATATTAATCAGAAAGTACTGTAACAGATACTAGAACAACTTGTATAGGAAACAATTCTTAATATTTGTTCTGCTGTTCAAATGAACGTGGAGCAATTTTTGTTCTGCCTTACAGAATTTGGCTGCTCTTTGCACACAAGGAGGCTGAAGTGTTGGCAATGCAGAAAGGGGCCTCTTTAGAGGATGCCAAGCTCAGCTTTTATTTTGAAGTCCAAATATCTTGTTTTTCTGTTTCACTGCAGGGCTTCCACAGAAGCCAGGATTAAGTGCATTAGTGAAAACTGCTTTGGAGTAACAGATAACAAGCCATAGTAATTGTAACCTTGGTGACAGCAGAGAGAAAGGTCATGGGTTTATGGTGGGGCACGTTGTCATCAAACACCAGTGACAGGCCTGTCACCAACCCTCTCTATCCCAAACCTCAACATCAGGGCCCTGTTAGTAGCAGTGAGACAGGACCTGTATGACCTCACTTAAGGACCCACGGCAGCAGGAAAAATAGATTCTTACTGCTCATTTTTAGCAAGTGATAGGACAAGGGCTATATAAACTGGAAGCCATTCCAGTTTAAAGGAAGGTTTAGGTTAGACATGAGGAAGGAGTTCTTTAGTGTAAGGGTGATGAGACACTGGCACAGGTTGCCCAGGGACATTGTGGATGCTCCCTGCCTGGAAGTGTTCAAAGCCATGTTGAACGGGGCTTTGGGCAACATGGTGGAAGGTGTCCCTGCTCATGCAGTGGGGCTGGAACTAGATGATCTTTAAGATCCCTTCCAACCCAAATAATTTTAGGATTCTGTGAAACAAGGGAGAAGTAGGGACTATTCATTTTGAATTGTCTCAGCTCTGTGTGTAGTGACAGGTAATTTATGACAACATTATTAACTCCTTATCTTCCCCTTGTAATGGAAGCCCAGCTCCAAGTCCCTCTTGTATGGCACAGACCGAAACACGTAGGTCAGTGCCTGTCCCATAGCTCAAAGTGACTCTGGTGGCTTTGTTGAGTTGTACTTTAGAAGATGTGCCACTGCTGGTATAAAGAAATATTCTGGAGGGATGTAACCCACCCTGCTCACTTCTGAAACCAAAGTATGTCCTTTAACTTTTTTCTCTTACAATCCACTCTGCAGGTTTAAACACTGTATGATACAATTTAGAGCTGCTCTAATGCATTTCTACTATCAGCTCTGCATACTGTTCAGCATCATCTTAAATCCACAGTTGATTTGTTCTTCTGTTACATCAGTACATACCTAAGTGAAGTATGTAGACAAAACTCATAATATTCAGCAAGTCATGCCAGATTTTTTAACTTTTTTTAGTAAAAGCTAGAGCAAGTTGAGAAAGAAAAATGCTAAATTGAATGTGTTAAGCCTCTGAGTTAAACCACATGAACTATTATAAGATAGATAATCTGATTTATAGTTGTCCCTGACAAAAGGTTAATTAACCCATGATTCTCCAGGTTTTGGTTATATACAAATACAGTTCCAGTGTGATTGTTGTTTTCTGTCACTTAGTTGTTGAAGCCATCTCCAGGGAGAGAAAAGATCAGGATTTAAATACCCACTTAGTGTTTCAAGAGGGCCTTGGGCCCAGGCCTCTTAGCTACTAAGAAAGACGATTAAAAAGGGAAGGTGATTTGATGTGGTTTTGAATGAACATGACAGGATTTTCTGCATTTTGGGGGTTTCTGTGCTGAGTGTGTTTTTCTGTGCCGAGTGTGTTATTCTGTGCCTTGAGCATGCCTACTGGAGACTCATTTCTTGCAATTCAGATGCAAGATGACTGATTCTGGCATTGCAAACAGGCTTTGCTGTGAGTTGGGAGGCTTTACATTTAAAAACCAAAGTGCCTGTGGACTCCCAGATACCTAAGCAGAAATCTTAGTTGTGAACTCTAGGTGTTTAGGTGCCTCTGCGATTTCAGGACCACTGAGCACCTCTGCAGTGTCTTGTACACACAACCCGAATTTGACACACAGCATTCCCACTCTTCCATGCACTGTATGTGAGTAGTGATACTGCCACAGTCGTTTCTTCAGCCTCATTTGACTGTAAACACCACTTGCTGCTGGAAGCACTTCTCTACATGCACATTTCTGGCAGCAGAAGTATGTAGTAACAACTGTGATGCTGTGGCTTAGACTAATAGCACAGCAGCAGAATCACCATTTTGAATTCCAGATCTGCCTATAAATAAAATCAAGTCTGTTTTCAAAGATTCTGGTCAGTATGGATGTGGGTTATCTACATCTCTGTCTTCTCTGCGTGACTTCAGCCAGACTGTTGTATTTCTCCTTTCCTGTTTTACATGTTTTCAAAATGCCAGCCTAGCTTCATCCCTGGTGCAATGGAGAAAGTCTCTGAGAAGTCTCACAAGCCTTTGGCTAATCATCTTTAACCCTTTCCTATAGATTTAGCTTAAAAATACAAATTGACAGACAGGATTAAACACTGCTTTTGCCAGGAGCAGATGGTTCTGGAGATCCCTCCAGTTCATGCTTGGTGAGTGATGTTTGTCAGGTAACCATTAGTGCTTAAAATACATCACTGATGTAATTTACTGTAAAAGTAATGTTTTTCAGATGCACAATTGATCCCTGATCATAAACCCATATGTTGAAGGGCTTGAATATTCCACTAGGAACTACAGAGATCATAAGTGAAAAATCAGCATCGTCTTAGAGGATGTTTTCCTTTTCCAGCCTTCTGAGTCTTTCTTTTCTCTTCCTACAGCTTGTGGATGTGACCTGGCACAAGGAGGATTTTTTGTGAGACAGGGAGACTACATCTGTACTTTGGACTACCAGAGACTCTATGGTACACGGTGCTTTAGTTGTGAAGAGTTCATTGAGGGAGAAGTGGTCTCAGCATTGGGCAAAACCTATCACCCAGACTGTTTTGTGTGTGCTGTCTGCAGGTATGTTTTCTACATGAAGCTGTTTTTCATTTAAAAGCTAGATTTTGAAAGACCAGTGCTAGGTGTTCAAAATCATAAACTACAGATGGAAAAAAAAGAGTTCTATTTTCTATTATGTACTCCTTAAGAAGCAACAGAATTAAAAAAAAAAAAAAAGGAAAGAAAGAAAAAAAAAAGGCAAATTCTGAGTGCCTCTGTTTTTTTTCCAAATGCTTTACCTGTTTTATGTATCTTATGTGTATCAGTACATACCTAAGTGAAGTATGTAGACAAAACTCATAATATTCAGCAAGTCATGCCAGATTTTTTAACTTTTTTTAGTAAAAGCTAGAGCAAGTTGAGAAAGAAAAATGCTAAATTGAATGTGTTAAGCCTCTGAGTTAAACCACATGAACTATTATAAGATAGATAATCTGATTTATAGTTGTCCCTGACAAAAGGTTAATTAACCCATGATTCTCCAGGTTTTGGTTATATACAAATACAGTTCCAGTGTGATTGTTGTTTTCTGTCACTTAGTTGTTGAAGCCATCTCCAGGGAGAGAAAAGATCAGGATTTAAATACCCACTTAGTGTTTCAAGAGGGCCTTGGGCCCAGGCCTCTTAGCTACTAAGAAAGACGATTAAAAAGGGAAGGTGATTTGATGTGGTTTTGAATGAACATGACAGGATTTTCTGCATTTTGGGGGTTTCTGTGCTGAGTGTGTTTTTCTGTGCCGAGTGTGTTATTCTGTGCCTTGAGCATGCCTACTGGAGACTCATTTCTTGCAATTCAGATGCAAGATGACTGATTCTGGCATTGCAAACAGGCTTTGCTGTGAGTTGGGAGGCTTTACATTTAAAAACCAAAGTGCCTGTGGACTCCCAGATACCTAAGCAGAAATCTTAGTTGTGAACTCTAGGTGTTTAGGTGCCTCTGCGATTTCAGGACCACTGAGCACCTCTGCAGTGTCTTGTACACACAACCCGAATTTGACACACAGCATTCCCACTCTTCCATGCACTGTATGTGAGTAGTGATACTGCCACAGTCGTTTCTTCAGCCTCATTTGACTGTAAACACCACTTGCTGCTGGAAGCACTTCTCTACATGCACATTTCTGGCAGCAGAAGTATGTAGTAACAACTGTGATGCTGTGGCTTAGACTAATAGCACAGCAGCAGAATCACCATTTTGAATTCCAGATCTGCCTATAAATAAAATCAAGTCTGTTTTCAAAGATTCTGGTCAGTATGGATGTGGGTTATCTACATCTCTGTCTTCTCTGCGTGACTTCAGCCAGACTGTTGTATTTCTCCTTTCCTGTTTTACATGTTTTCAAAATGCCAGCCTAGCTTCATCCCTGGTGCAATGGAGAAAGTCTCTGAGAAGTCTCACAAGCCTTTGGCTAATCATCTTTAACCCTTTCCTATAGATTTAGCTTAAAAATACAAATTGACAGACAGGATTAAACACTGCTTTTGCCAGGAGCAGATGGTTCTGGAGATCCCTCCAGTTCATGCTTGGTGAGTGATGTTTGTCAGGTAACCATTAGTGCTTAAAATACATCACTGATGTAATTTACTGTAAAAGTAATGTTTTTCAGATGCACAATTGATCCCTGATCATAAACCCATATGTTGAAGGGCTTGAATATTCCACTAGGAACTACAGAGATCATAAGTGAAAAATCAGCATCGTCTTAGAGGATGTTTTCCTTTTCCAGCCTTCTGAGTCTTTCTTTTCTCTTCCTACAGCTTGTGGATGTGACCTGGCACAAGGAGGATTTTTTGTGAGACAGGGAGACTACATCTGTACTTTGGACTACCAGAGACTCTATGGTACACGGTGCTTTAGTTGTGAAGAGTTCATTGAGGGAGAAGTGGTCTCAGCATTGGGCAAAACCTATCACCCAGACTGTTTTGTGTGTGCTGTCTGCAGGTATGTTTTCTACATGAAGCTGTTTTTCATTTAAAAGCTAGATTTTGAAAGACCAGTGCTAGGTGTTCAAAATCATAAACTACAGATGGAAAAAAAAGAGTTCTATTTTCTATTATGTACTCCTTAAGAAGCAACAGAATTAAAAAAAAAAAAAAAGGAAAGAAAGAAAAAAAAAAAGGCAAATTCTGAGTGCCTCTGTTTTTTTTCCAAATGCTTTACCTGTTTTATGTATCTTATGTGTGAGGTTTTTTGAGAATTTCAAAGTACATTTTTCAAGAAACTGCCACTGCCTCTATGGTTAGACCTTTTTTTTCCCAAATGTTGCTTAATTTCTTTAGTGCCTCCTATTTTTTCTTTTGTTGCCTGAAGTTACAAAGGATTCAAATGCCGGTGCTGAGTCTTCAGTGAATAGAGCAGATATGTATTAATAGTTTTAAACTGAGGTTTCACAGTGCTGTTTCCCAGAAGCTCTGCTAGTAATTTAGAGTAGGACAAAAATACCTGCAACTTCCAAATACTTAATAGTGTTCAGTTTCACCAAGGTTCTGCAGCAGCCATGGAGGTGACAAGTGACACAGCACATGAGGTTTCCTCCCACCGCAACAGCCCACTGTAGTACATGGGCTCATTTCCCACATGGGTCCATGAAACTCAGTGCTGGTGGGGATGTTTGCAGGCTCTGCAGTTCAAGTGACTGTTGTCCATTTGACCTGCATCTTAATCTTCTTCTGTGGAAACGGCAGAAACAGGTCTGTTGAAAACTTTAGGAAGAAAAAATCTGGTCTGCCAGACCTTAGTGCACCAATACAGCAGTTTGGATGAGATGGAAAGACTGTAGTAATTTCTCTGGCTAAACTTGAGCCTTTATCAGTACAAGAGAAGTAACCCTGTGTTCAAAGGGAAGGCACAACAGGGCACAGATGCACCACATTGTAGCTGCTCTTTGTGCTGGTGCCACATTCAGGTGACTCTGCAGTCCAAAAGCTGCGTGTCCGTGTCGCTGTGGCCATCTGCCTGCTGAATCTGCCCAGCTCATAGGGCTGCTGAGCTCAGATGTTCTCCTGTGCTGATGCAGAGAGGGACTTCAAATTCCAGAACAGCCATGGTTTCTGTTAGGATATCAACTTAATGTATCCATTGCAGAAATAATTAAATAGCCACGTTAAAGGGAAAACTGAGATTGACAAGCCTCTATTATATTAAATACTATCTGTTCATGTTTTGCTATATTTAATAGGATAATTTTTCTTTAGACAACAAAAAAAACCCTAATTTTTAAACTTATTTTTAATAAATTGGAGGAGATGTTATTTTTCATTATTTGGGTAATTGTAGATCTCATGTGGATCTCAACTGCTGGCTGCAGAAGCTCTTGGCCTGCAGTCTGTTGGTATTACAGCTCTTCTTCAGATGAGCACAACTAATTCTTGGTACTTTTCTTCTTAACATTAGTGCCTTTTGTAAAGTGAGGTACTTCTTAATGTAAGATTTTTTAAAAGCCTGGTTTATTCCAATTTCCTGCTAAATGTGCTTGGATCCTGAGCCACACCATTAGGATTTAGCATTGAAGCAAAAATCATTTACCTGTGTGTTACTGTACTCAGCAGCTTGATACCTAACTTAGCTTTCAGTCAGATCATTGGATATTCTAACTTCTTGCTGTATTTAGTCAGTCTGTTAGCTGATAGTTTTGGGGTTGGTGATAAAATTTGTATGCTTTCCCTGGAAATTCAGAACAGTTTTCCATATGACTAAATTACTTATTCAGGGGATCTGGAACTGTAATACAGTGAAAATACTCACTAGAACATGCTACAAATATCTTGTGTATTGAAGACTTGCTAAAGCTTTTTAAAAATTAAGTTCCTGATACAATAAGATTTAATATCTAAAACAAAATCAGAGATGTTCCCTAACCTCTATAACTAAATAGTTAGATTAAAAGCTATGTCACTCTTTCTAACTGCTGCTTTCTGAAACACCAGTAGAAAGTCCCGGATTTGGTTCTGTGCTTTCCTTAGAAGGACATAAAAATTCATGTTGTCTTCATGAAAGCCAACTAATGCCCTGCTGACTAGCAGGGATTCAATTAGTGTCTCCCAAGGGGGTTTTAACACTGACTTGTGGAGCAGAGCAGCAGAAGAATCCTGTCATCTCTTTATAGTGCAAACACTCAGCTGCTTTAAATCAGCTTGGCTTTAATTACCCCAGTCATTGCAACCGAGGCATAATTTATGTTTTTATGGGAAAGGTTGTTGTGTCTAAACATCATCAGCATTTATTTTATTGAGTGATATCCCCAGTAAAAATAGGGTGGGTAGACTATAAATACATGTGGTTTAAGTAGAAAAAAAACTTGTTTGTTTGTTTAAATAAACAATAAGAATAAAAGGCAAAAATCAGAACCACTTGGTTTAAGGTACAGGGTTGTAAATCTTTCTACCTTGGTATTTTCTTTGGTGGGAAGAGTCAGGAGTACCATTAGTGTCCTCATTTCTTGCAGATGGACAGAAACCTTAAATGATGGTCCAAAGCACACCATGTGATCATGCAAACTGCATCTGACATTGCCTTTTACAGCCAGACTTTAATGTGGGTGCTCTATTAGAAATCTGACTTCCAGAAGGGTGTGAACTTGGCAGGTGGTGACGGACTAACAGCAGGTTTCTTACCAACTTCAACAGGAAAACATTGGCAGCAGAAGGCGCTTTGCACTTGTGACAAGGGTCTTCAGGGTGGTGCAGGATCATTAAGTGCTTTAAATAAGCACTTTTATAACCTGTATTTCTGTAGCTCTGAATTAATGCTTTTAAACTGTTACTGCTTTGAGTAGTAAACCAGTCACAGTACCGACTCCTTTTTTTCTCATTTTCAAAGAAGATAAGATTTAAATATAAGTCAGTGGGAAGTGTATGTTACTTGAGATGACAAAATCAATGAGAGAATCTAATGTGCACACAGCTGTCTGGGGCAGTGGGAAAAAGCCACTTCCCTGGACCTGCTGACTACATTAATGCAGCGCCGGGTGTGGCTGGGCTATTTGCAGGGACTCTGCTGACTCATGTTCAACTTGGCGTCCACCAGGACCCCATGTTCTTTTATGCTTTCTGATTGACTCCTGAGTTGTACTGTTTAACAAGGTTATTCCTCCCTGGTGCAGAACTTAGCATTTGCCCTTGTTGATGTTCATGAAGGCAGTAGATAGCAAGTAATGTCCACTTTATCTCAGCACATTTAACATCCTGGGTCAAATTTGGCCCTATGGAGCAACCTAGAGAGGTATGATTGTACCAGGTACAAATTAGAGAAGAATTGGATCCTGTAGGTCCTCGGGTTGCAGGCTGACATTACACCTGAGCCAGTGTAACTGCAGTCTGCTGCTGAAATGAATAGCTTTGGTCTCCCCAGAACCCTGACAATATACTTTGGTTTATTTTCTTATATCAAATTTAGATGACTGTTCAGCCACAGAGCCAGATCAGCAAGTTAAAGAACAGAAGGCCATCCATCTGCTCTGAGAAAAAATTTAGCATTTTCATTTGGTCCAGAAAGCTTGAATGATTTGCCCACAGCTGCATATGGTGGTTTAATGTTTTACAATATAATTTTGTTGGAGAGCTCCAGTTATTTCTGGGTTTACAAATGAAGTAGACAGGTGGGTAAAACAAAGTTTATTGGAAAATGAATCATAGAAGGTGTATTAAAATCTTACAAGTAATTTCGTAGAGCTGCTTTAAAGATGCTCTAAATTCTCATTTTAAAAATAGGTTATCCAACTGTGAAAATTACACTGAATATTTTTAAAAGGATAAGTAGATAATGATACCCCATAACTAACAGTGTTCACTGGGTGACTGGTTGTGAGATGTCATTATAATCAAAAACAGATATGCTGATCTTAACCTACAATCCTATATATAGTCCTGCTCACAAGTTTAAGAACTCGGAAACTGAAACCTTGTTAATTGACTGTTGCCACCTTCTGTTGTGCCTTCCCTTGTGCTGGCATTGAGGTCCTTGAGCAGGGCTGCTTGTGAAAGGGAGATGTCAGATGTTACAGAAATATTGGCAAATGTGTTGTGTACAAATTCTGGATTCCCAGTGAACGATGTAGTGAGGCAAACGCCGAGACTTAATTATGGGTTTAGAAGACCAGTGAGAGAAGGAACCGCCTGCCGATACCTTTGGGTAGACAACTTCCAAGGAGGATTTTCCTGCTTTCACAGAGGAAGGTATCTTACAGTCCTAAAAAACTTACTAGAGAAGTGAAATTGTTGCCCTCTCCCCTCTGAATAGAAGGGCACAGTAAGTGGTTACTAAACTTTCAGAAAATAGACCATGTAAGATGTAAAAAGATCTTACACCTAAAAGCGCAGGAGTGCCTCTACACGTGCGCGCCTTGAGGTAGGCTCTGTGGCCTGTGGTGGTGCCTGTAAGCTTTGGCATGATTTGTAGCTGTCATCTACCTGGGTCTTTCTTGGTGATGTAGGAGGTCAATTATCCTATTCCTTTTAGAGGGAAACATAGAGTTTTCTTTCATGTCGTCTAATTGCCTAAGATAGATGAAACAATTAAAAATGAATGGCCCCTACTTCTACTTTACGTTATTGAATCCTGGAATGGTTTGGGTTGGAAGGGACTTTGAAGATCACCTAGTTCCACCCCCCCTGCAGGGGGGGCAGTGACCCCTCCCACTAGACCAGATTTCTCAAAGCCCCATCCAACCTGGCCTTGAACAGTTCCAAGGAAGGGACTTCCATTTCCAGGGAACTTCCCTGGTCAACCTGTGCCTGTGTCTCAGCACCCTCACAATAAAGAATTTCTTCCTAATGTCTAACCTGAATCTTCCTTCTTCCAGTTTAAAGCCCCCTTGTCCTATCACTACATGCCCTTGTAAAAAACCCTCTTCAGCTTTCCTGTAGCCCCTTCAGGTACTGGAAGGCTGCTAAGAGGTCTCCCTGGAGCCTTCTTTTCTGAACAGCCCCAACTCTCTCAGCCTGTCTCCATAGCAGAGGTGTTCTAGCCCTCTGATCATATATGTAGCTCTCATCTGTAATTTATCCAACAGCTGCATGTCATTCCTGTTCTGGGGGCTCCAGAACTGGACAAAGTACTCCAGGTGGGCTCTCACAAGTGCAGAGTAGAGGGGACAATCGCCTTGACCAGGTGGCCACGTCTTTTGATGAAACCCAGGATACGGTTGGCTTTCTGGGGTACAAGTACACATTGGTGGCTCATGTTGGGCTTCTCATCAACCAGTACCAACTACTTGATACTTGGTGCATCTGTTTCCAATGAGCTTCTAAGTCCAGCTAGAAGTTGAGTTGCATTTTTGTGAGGTAGATCACTGAGTCAAACAATGAAAGATACTGGGGTGGCTGTGTGATTGCAACTGTGGAGCAGGTTACTGTTTTTGTGGAGGGTTTGATTCAAAATAGATTACCAGTGGTTGCAATAAATACATTAATTTCTGTAAATAAAGATGAAGTGTGATCCTAAAGACACATAGGAGGTCAGTTACAAGTTGTCTTCATTCTGAAACAACAGAAATTCTTTGGCATGTGCCTTTCCAGGTATCAGTAGTGCTTAGTTCTAGACTTGATTTTGTAACATTTTAATAAAATGGAAACAGAATTAAATACTGTCTTGCACATTTATTTTTAATACATAACACAGGAGCTTTCTGCTGCCAGATTGCTGGAAGACAGGGCAGACTTGCAGCTCACTGGAGCAGTGCAGCTCTGTTACATTTTGTCTGTTATACTAGAGACATAGAGTCATTGAATGCCAGGTTGGAAGGGACCTCACAGATCACCTGTGATCAACCTGTCTAGGCACTACTATAGTTTGTATGAGATGGCTCAGCACCCTGTCAAGCTGAGACTTAAAACTGTCAAATTTGGAAGAATCTACCACTTCCCTTGGGAGACTATTCTGATGTTTGCCTGACCTCATGGTGAAAAATTCACCTCTTGTATCCAATTGGAATCTCCCCAGGAGCAACTTGTGCCCATGACCCCTTGTATTTTCCATGTGACTCCTTGTAAATAGAGAGTCTCCATCTTCTTGGTAGCCACCCTGTAAGTACTGGAACACTGTAATAATGCCTTCCCAAAGCCTTCTCTTCTCAAGGCTGAACAAATCCAGTTCTCTCAACTTCTCCTAATATGACAGGTCCTCCAGTCCTCTGAAATTCATGATAGAAAATCCTTTCTTGAACCAGGAGAAATTTAGGACTCCCTGATCTGTACTAACATGGTGTTGAGCCTGTCACAGAATCACACATGGAGCATTTAGTTGTGTAAAAGAGAAAGATAATTTTAAAGGCTATTTTCTTGAAATATTTTTCCTTATCTTAACTTTTAAATGAGAAGGTAGCACGTGTTTGCAGTATTAAGTCATTAGTGAAAGGAAAAAAAGATGAAAAGCAGAATTCAATGTCAGAAATCCAAAGATATGACAATGTTTAAACTCTGTGTCCTCATAATTTTTGAGGTATTGCCTGTGGCCCAAAATGGATGACAGTGCTGAACACTTATTTAGCTGGTTTAAAATAGATTTTAGTAACATTATTTAGAAAGGAAGTACAGTATTGCTTTTGTTCTCTCTTTGAGTAATAAGGTGGTTTTTTTAAAATGCAACACAAATGTTGAATAAGCCCTTGTTGGGCTCTAGGGAACAAAATAATGTTTATGCTTAGCAAGAAATATCTGTGCTTTGGTAGTGAAGACAACCTGTCAATTGGTGTGAATTTAATAGCATTTTTGGGGGAATATCATGCAGAATTTTAATGACATGTTAATGAAATTTTCTGATCAGATTTACTTCACCACAAGGCAGAAGGTCTGTATTATGTTTGTGCCCCATTTAAGCCATTTTTTGATAGCTTGCATGGGATTTAGTTGGACATGAGCTTTGGGTGGAGTGAAATGTGTTTCTAAATCCTGACCATCCTTTGCTGCATTATAAAGTGATTTGTCCATCTGGTCCTGTGAAAGAAAAAAAACTCAGCAGCTTTTGTGCCCAGACAAGAGACCTCACAGTGGAAAGCATTTTGTTTTAAGGGCATTGATAAAAAGGAAGGATTTAATTAAGTGTAAGGAGATCTGTTGTTGAGTAGAGCAGACAAGTAATGTAGGTGCTTTTTGTTTTGTAACTGGGATTAGTTTTTCTCCTATGAGAGTTCACTCATATTTTAACAACATAAAAGCAGCTGCATTTGCCTGTACTTACTCCCTCTGATACCAATTCTGTTTTAATTCTCCAACTGATCCTGTCAATGATCAACCCTATCTGATACTACATTTCTTAGATACACAAGGATTTGGACTTGAGTGCTCAGTGTGTTTTTGTATCTTTAGATACTGTCTTTTCCCAAGTAGCTGTAACATCTGCTTTTGCAATAATCTGTTTAATGTTTCCCTTCAATACTTCAGCCTCTAAGTGGCTGAAAAATCATGAGAGTTGGGCAAGAAGAGAGAAGGAAGCCAAAGTAATAATTGGATCCTTTATGGGAAGGCACTTTGTTTTGATAAAGGTGTGAGACTGTAGCCTGTCTGCTTTTGTTTCCTCTGTTGTAGGCTGCCTTTCCCTGCGGGCGACAGGGTAACTTTTAACGGGAAGGAATGCATCTGCCAGAAATGTTCCCTGCCCCCTTCCAGCAGCACTGGCTCGTTCCCGGTACAGAACCTGCGGAGTAAGTAGGGGTTTGTGCTCTTTTCTGTTGGTACTTCTTGGTCTGCACTGGTTGAAGGAACAGAATTCTACACCAATATATGTAACTGGAATTTCTACCACTATGCTGCATAAAAGGTGTCAAGAAATACAATGTAGTCATGTGAAAAAGTTTATGACAGGTTTCCGAGAAAATCTGATATTAAAGAGAGATACAAATGGTGCCATTGTTAACAATGCACAGAACTTCCCAGAAGATTTGATTAAAACTGGAATAAATACAATTATTTGGAGAAGGGCTTAATATAGATCTTAATACTTTTGATAATTTAGTCCAAATCCTGGTAAAATAAAATCCAAAGTGATATTTAATAATTCTTAACTGTTCCAGAGTTGCTTCAGAAAATATTGTAAGACAGCTGCACGGCTAAATATTACACAGGAAACATTAATGTGTGCAGTGTGACCAGAGTGACATTCACCTGGACCCCAGTACTACTGTGTGCTGTCAGAAGATACAAACACTGCAGAGAAGAAATGTGGTTTTTTCATAACATGTATTTTGCAGCAGATCACAGAGTGGCATTGTTGCTCTGAACTCAGTTCCTCTGCTGATTTGCTCGTGAGGAGCTGCCATGCTTTAACATTCATCCACTGCCTGTATGTAACTAGAGATCAATAGCAATTCAATCAAACAGCAAAGACAGAAATATTGTTAATCACTGTCACATCACGTTGAGCTGGACTTGGCATGGCTGAGGATGGACCCCATAGATTATTCATCTTTGTATAAAAGAAATCCAGCTCACTTCAGGGAGAAATTTGTCCTACGTCTGTTTTTGCATAGGTTTTCACCATCTTCTTTCTCCAGTTTGTCAGCAAAGCTGCTGTGTGAATGCAGTGAGAGATGCTCTGTTGATTTCTCTCTTGCTAATGCTGTTGTCTTGGGGAGGGAATGGTCCTCTCTCCTAGGTGTCACATATTCCAGAGGTGGATCATCCCCAGCTATCACGGCTGCCTGCATTTGCAGATATGTTCTTTAGTAGTCTGTCATCTATTTGTCTCCTTGTCATATGGGAAAATTGGTTTTGACTTTAATGGAAATTGTTTGCCTCGTTGACTGCTAACAGAACAACTGCATTTGATTATCTGTGATACAGAGTCTTTTAATGTACTTGCATTCCCTTTCTCTGTACGCACACATCCCCACACCATGGAGAGTTTCTCTTTGTTGCGTTTTCCCACCTCTCAAAAGTCACTGCATTGAGCCTCCAAAGTGCACAAGTACCTGCAAACCTCAGCAAATCACTTGCCTCAAAGAAAAAGGGTACTGGGAGTCTATATTTGTGGCAAACCTGCTCTTGGAAAACACAGGTTTCCCTGAGAAAAATCTCAAACAGATGCAAGTAATTTAACCTCAAATATTGATCTCCTGTAAAACTCATTAATAGTGAATCTTGAGCCCTAAATTTCATAGAATGGCTAGGGTTGGAAAGGACCTTAAAGATCACCTAGTTCCAGCCTGCCTGCATGGGCAGAACACTTCCCACTAAATCAGGTTGCTGAAGGCCCCATGCAACCAGGGAGAGGGCATCCACAACCTCTCTAGTCAAACTGTTCCAACATCTCACCACCCTCACAGGAAAGAACTTTTTCCTAATGTCCAATGTGAATCTCCCTTCTTTAAGCTTCAAACCATTGACCCTTGTCCTCTCACTATACACCCATGTAAAAAGCCCTACTCCAGCTTTCTTGTAGGCCCTCTTCAGATATTGGAAAGTTGATATAAGGTCACCATGGAGCCTCCTCTAGGCTGAACAACCCCAACTTCCTCAGTCTATCTTCACAGAGGAGGTACTCCAGCCCTCTGATAATTTTCATGGCTTTCCTCTGGACATACTCGAGGAGTTCTGTCTCCTTTTTATGTTGGGGACTCCAGAATTGGACATAGTACTCCAGGTGTGCTCTCACCAGAGCAGAGGGGGAGAATCACCTCTCTCGACTAACTGGCCATGCTTCTTTTGATGCAGCCCAGGATACAGTTGTCTTTCTGGGCTGCAAGTGCACACTGATGGCTCATATTAAACTTCTGATCCACTGCTACCCCCAAGTTCTTCTCCTCTGGGTTTTCCTCAATCCTTACTTCTCCCAGCCTGCATTCGTACATGGGATTGCCTTGACCCAGGTGCAGAACCTTTCTTGTTGAACTTCATGCAGTTTACATGAGCCCACTTCTCGAGCCTGTCAAGGTCCCTGTGGATGGCATCCCTTCCCTCCAGTTTGTTGACTTCACCACACAGTTTGATGTCCTCAGCAACCTTGCTGAGGATGCACTTGATTCCACTGTCCAGGTTGCCAACAAAGATGTTAAATAAATGGAAATGGAGAAAATCTTGCTTGCTACAAGTTTTGGCAGATTCAGATAAGAGTCTTGGTTCAAACCTGGATATGTGCCACACTGTAGACTGGACTTATAAAATAGCTTTGATCTTCACCTTAGACTTACCAGCTTTGCTTCTCAAACGGTGCCGTGATGTCGATATGAAGCTGATAGGTACCATGGTTCCTTAAAGGGCAAACTGAGATCCATACCTGGTTACCAAGTAAATAGTACCATGATGTTGCCAGGATCCCAGATAAATATCTTCTTACCTGTGTAGACTACATCTATTCTACTCTCTTCCTTACTCCATTTCCCTAGTGTCTTGCAGTGAAGGTGCAACCTGCAAGACCCAGCAGTTAGAAAAACATGCCACCATTTGTTATCATTCCTAGCTGGAACACTCTGGTTAAAAAAGCTTACTGAAGGAAAAAGAAAAATCAGTAAAAGGAAAATTGGCGTAATTCTGGCTCAAACCAGGACACTTGGGAAATTGGGTAGCAATGCTATAATACCTCCTTGGTGGGGAATAGAGCTTTGAGGGGTTCAATGGAAAGCTCTGCAGCTAGAGGTGCATGCATGTATATGATGTGCAGGATGTGTCAGAGCCTGACTAATGAAAATATACAGAAAGTTAACCAAATATCTAAAAAGATAATAAAGAATTTGGGAAACATTCAGATTAATGTGTGATATATGTCTAGATGTAGCACTTGAGGATGGTTTTTTTGGATGGTGGTGTTATGTTGATGATTGAACTTGATGATTTTAGAGGTCTTTTCCAACCTTAATGATTCTATGATTCTGGTATGTGAAAGAGCAGTGTGTAATAGCAGGTGTTTTCCAAGCACTTACCAATCCTTAGGCTAGAACCAGTGTTTCAAGATAAGCAGCATCAAAGACATCTTGATTGAACTGGAAAATAGAAAGTCCAGAATGGCTGTAGCAATGCTACGTGTTACACAAAGTAATAAATGGCATGTTTCCTTGTTTCAGCATCTTCTTGGAAATGACTTTAATATTTTAAGCAAACAATCCTTTTTAGAAAAGAACAGTAGTGCACAAAAACATGTGACTTCAAGCAAGCTGAGTCAAGGACCAAGTGATCTGTTGACCCGATGTTACATTGATTTTACTCTTGAATCAGAACAGCCTGATACATACTATATATGTTATTTGTCAGCCTGTTATCCCTGACCTGAGCTCAGAAATGCTTTCAGGAGATCTCTTGGGACTCATTGAGCTCCCATCATCACTACCCCTTCTGACCAGTCCTTTTATTTTCATCCTCCCAGTTTGGTTTTGACCTCCTTTATGTGTTACAAGAAATGAAGAATATCAAGTATTTGGTTTTTTGCCTGAGTCCTTGAGGTTTTTATTATAATATAAATACCTAGCTATCTGGTTTGGTTGTTGTTGGTTTTTTGTTTGTTTGTTGTGGTTTTTTTTATAAAATGCTAGCTAGGAAAATTCTTGTGGCAAGGTTGATGTTGCAGGAGTACTCACAGAAGAATATCAACATGTAGCAGCAAATTGATGTGTTCTGCAGAGTTATTGGTTGAAAGTAGGTGAGTCAGAAAGGGTGCTGCATCCAAGACAGGATGAGCAGGACATTGCATCAATAGGCACAGTTGGCATAGCAACCACAATATTCGTTTTTAATTATCTGGATCTTAACAGAGAAAACAGCAGTTAAAGCTAAAAAAAGTTCCCAAATGGCTGCATTTCTGCTCACACAAGCTTAAAGCAGACAAAAGGTGAATGACATCTGATGACAGTGTTGTATTCAGTTTGTGAAATAAACCCTCAAGCAGTCAGATTAAACTAGATTACCAGATGAACCCCTGGTGCAGGAGAGATCACAGAAAAAAAAATCATTGCAGTTAAAGAATAGATGTTGCAGTATTCGTTGTCTTGTGGGACTAAATGAAGGCACACACCCAAATGTTCTTTTTTATTAGCAAAACTCAAATGTTTTTATCTGTTGTGCATGTGCTTTTGTGCTGGGCTTGTTTCCACGTATTGGTGCTCTACAGGGTGATATTAGAGAGATATTTTATGGCTCCCTTAATCCATTCCAAATCCACTCAAGGAAAATAAGAACTATCCTTTGTTGTGCACTCAGAAATTAAACATTTACAAGTGCACTAACAAAGTGTCTCATTAGGGTCATGTAACCAACTAACAGAATCTTAAATCAGAATATTTTTAAGGGAACTGTTTAAATCTTTTAATGAGATCCTGTGTTTGAAGCTCTTAATAGCTTGCTGCATCTTTTTTTATGCTTTTGTGTATCTTTTTCTACCATGCAAGACATTGTTATGTGACATTGTGTAGCCACAACAACCCCGGCAATGCTACAGGCTTGGGGAGGAGTGACTGGAGAGTTGCCCAGCAGAGAGGGACCTGGGAGTGTTGATTGACAGTCGGCTGAACATGGGCCAGCAGTGTGCCCAGGTGGCCAAGAAGGTCAACAGCATCATGGCCTGTATCAGGAATAGTGTGGCCAGCAGGAACGAGGGGGCGATCCTGACCTCAGTCTTACTGAGGCTGCACCTCAAGTTGCACTGTGTGCAGTTTTGAGCACTGCAGTATGAGAAGGACATGGAGGTGCTGGAGAAGGTGCAAAAAAGGCCAGGTAGGCTGATTAGAGGTCTGTTGAACAGGTCTTATGAGGAGAAGCTGAGGGAGCTGGGGCTGTTCATCCTGGAGAAGAGGAGGTTGAGGGGAGACCCCATTGCTTTCTACAGCTACCTTGAAAGGAGTCAGGTGTTGACCTCTTCCACCTAGTGACTAGTGATAGGACGAGGAAATGGGGTCAAGCTGCACCAGGGGAAGTTCAGATTGGATATTAGGAAAAACTTTTTCACTGAAAGAGTGGTGAGACATTGGAACAGGCTACCCAAGGAGGTGGTGGAGGCATGGTCCCTGGAGGTGTAGATGTGCTTTGGGAGATGGCTTAGTGGTCTTGGGGGTGTAGGGCTGATGGGTGGGCTTGATGATATTCAAGGTCTTTTCCAACCTTAGTGATTCTATAATTCTAAATGTCTTTTAGGGTTTGTATTTGTTCTAGCAAATTATTGGTGTAAACAAAGAATTCCTAAAAAACCTGTTTTCACCTAAAATGGAAGACATAATCCTGTGGAGGATTATGAGAGTTACTGAGATATGGATACTAGAATAAGTTCATTACTGACGTTTATCCTTATTTTCCCACATATTCAGAATATTGTAACATTTTCAAATAAAATGATACATAGATGAAAGTTCAATTATTTGTCTTAATCTCGTTATTTGTATGTCTTTTATTAATTTTATTGTGCTGGTTTACAATACCTGAAAATTTCATCAGCAAAACTTTGTATCTTTTAAACACAGCATAAAATAATTAAAGCCTAAGTCACTAGGAAACCTAAGTATTTAGGTTTGTTTTTTTTAATTATTACTGTCTTCTAGCAGTGTTAGGACAGTAGTAGGGCAGCACCACTTGTCATCCATCCGTGAACAGCCAGCAGGGAGCTTTAGAGCTGCATGAGCTGTTACTAGGACACCAATGGCTCCTCATGTTGTGGTCACCACTGTTGTTGCGTGACTATTTCAAGCGTGCGATTCACTCATATTGGATTTTTCTCTTGCAGGTTGTGGGGGCTGTGGTTCAGAAATAAAAAATGGGCAGTCACTGGTTGCCTTGGACAAACACTGGCATTTGGGCTGTTTTAAGTGCAATACTTGCGGCAAGCTGCTGAACGCAGAGTACATCAGCAAGTAAGTTGGGTGGAGGAGCTTTTTCACTTATTTTCACTATTATTTTAATATCAACTAATTAAGCGTAGCATATCTTTTAGTCTGTGTTTATCAGTGTTTGGAGATACAGAAAAGATTGAAGATTATTACCTGAATTATTATCTAACTTGTATTAAATGCAGAAAAATTCAAATTAAGAAAAGTAGAATTTATCTATTTACCTGGAATGGGATTTTTCAAAATTACAGAAGGGCAATGGGTGGAGTATGTCCTTAGTTATCTATATCTGACTTTGCTCTTGGCAATGCTGTGATGTGAACAAGCTGATATTATTCTTTCCATGTGTTTCACATAAGAAAAAATGTTCTGAAAAAGTTTGTTAAGGAAGTATGTATCATGCTTTTGCCCTGCTGCAGACCTTGGTGCTGTCACATTTGGACTGAATGTGATGACAGCAATGAGAGGCAGCACGAAGCACACACACAGACCAAGTCCCATGTCAACAGTCATCTCAGTATGGTGAGATACAGGACTTCCACTAGCCAGGGCACCTGGGATTAATTTCTGCTTCAGAGAACTGTGTTGATACAATTAAATTTTCAGAAACAGCTAAGTAACTGAGCCACCAGTGCCCAGAGATGCTAGAGTTTCAGAGCCAATGTCCCACTGGTTTTCAACAATTATTTCTATTTGGATTAATACAGGTATAACATTTAATTTCACAGCTTGCATTTGAGGCTGAGAAAACCATATTTAATAAAAGGGTGTTCTTAAATAAGGTTTTTGCATGGTCTCAAATGTTATGCTAGTCTGCTGTATTTTGGAACAGTGCTTTTCTTGTTTGTTATTTAATGATAAAAACTCTTTATCAACTTTGAAGATGTAGTTATTGGGAAACCCTGTTTTAAAAAAATCTAAATGCCAAAAAAAATAATTCAAGAGAAGAAACACACTTGCTTAAATTAATTTGATTAATTATTGTGATAACTTATAGGCTAGTCTCTAAGTAATCCAATTTATATGCTGTAAAATTAATTTTTGTTTCTTCAGGACAATGTCCAATAAAATTATACCTTGCCAATAAATCTGTCTGATCATGGGCTATATTAGCATAGCAAACTAAATATATTTAACTATGTTAAATATGGACCACAAAAACATTCAGTGGGTTGGAACACCTCTCCTGTGAGGAAAGGCTGAGAGATTTGTGGTTGTTCAGCCTGGAGAAAAGAAGAGACCAGGGAGACCTTATAGTGAGTGGCCTTCCCATGCCTGAAGGGGGCCAGTAAGAAAGATGCAGACAAACTTTTTAGCAGCATCTGTTGCATTCGGACAAGGGGTGATGGTTTTAAACTAAAGGAGAGTAGATTCAGCCTAGATTTAAGGAAGAATTTTTTTATGAGGGTGGTGAAGCACTGAAACAGGTTGCTCAGAGAAGTGGTAGATGCCTTCATATTTTAAAATTGTACATTATCTTAAATCACTTGTGTTGGTGAAATAACTGTACATGTTTTGTATTTATACACTACAAGATCTCTGCTGCTGCTGAGGTTGAAGTCTCTTAGTCATTACTGACTTTCATGGAGCAGGTTCCTGAGTTGGTTAATCCATTACTATCTTTGAGCAAGTCCAGTCAAGAATGTCAGTAGATTTAAGTGTTAATCAAAACTTGATTTAGAGTCAAGATAGCCAGTTGAGAAGTTACTCTGAAGTCTAAACTAAGTGCAGTTAAATGGAAAACAGAGGGAAAAATATTTTTTCCAGTGTGCAAAATACATGGAAGAATTTAATGAGTAACACTATCAAAACAAATTGTATGAGAGTCTCAGACTTAAGTTTTGTGACTGGGAGACACTGACTGAATGTAGTGGCAAAACAGGAAAGTGGGATTGTGGTAGACTCTGAAGGGTTAGAATAGTTTGTTAACTATTCCATTCTTTACAAAATTAAGAAATGTAAGAATTTGGAGGAGGAAAAGTCCATAAACACCCCATTCAGTGTTGAAACATTAACAAATTTTAGCTGTATACTCTCCCAGTAAAGCTGTAAGCTTATCTTAAGCAGTCTCTGTATGGCCTGTTGCTCTTCCCTAGGGATGGCATTCCATACTGCGAAACGGACTATCATGCGAAGTTTGGTATCAGATGTGACAATTGTGAAAAGTACATCACAGGAAGAGTGCTTGAGGTAAGGAGAATCTGTCAGTCAAACACATCTCAAAGTGACTTGCTCTTTTGGGTCAAGTCATGCTTACAAATGAGCGTTAATGCAGCAATTTAGTTACTTTTGTGAAACACTAGGAACCTTTTCTACGGTTATTTTCTGTTGCATTTCTTAATGATGATACACATACTCCCTAGATGGATGTTTGTGGTACTGGAGAACGTTCAGGTAGAAGAAGTATTAAATGAATGGCTTATCAGGCAAATTTTCATGCTTACACTAAAATCCTTTATAAATTCTGCTCTTCAGTTCTGTTTTACCTTCCCTGGCATTAGGGTGAAGCTGCTGAAAAACTACAATTAATAATTTGAAATATATTTTAGCACTGAGAAATTAGCTATATTGCAGGGTTTTTTTGAGTTTGTTGTTTTAAAAAGAGAGGATGTTTAGTGTAGGTGTTTGTTCATGCTTTATGCAAAAGAGATTTCCATATAATTGAGCCAGAAATTGATATATTCCTTTGATCTAAATACAGTTTATCCTTGGATCTAAGTGTATTGTTATCCAATCAAAGTTATCATTTATCCACTTTTTATTTCTCCTCTTTCACTGTATCTTTTGAAACCTTAGCAGTACTGAAGTTAGGAAGAGATTCCACAGATTGCTCAGTTGGCTCCTTTGTCTTTATCAGTTAAGAAAGGCTGGAGAAGTCCCAAAGAACTTCCACCAGAGAAGGATCTGAGTCATACAGAGACTTTTATGTGTTCATCATTTTGACAGTTTAACAGTGGGAAGGGACTGAGAAGCAAGTTGAAGGAAACAGTGAGTCCATACTAGGTGGCACAGTATGGCATTAGGGTTAGGCATGGACTGCTTTTCCATTATCAAATGTTATTACAGACATCTCAGGAAACAGACTTCCAATATGGGATTTGAAAGA